AAAAAAAAAAAAAGAAAGAAAGAAACTTCTGCTGTTTATAAGTCACCTAGTCTGTGGTATTTTGTTAGAGTAGCCCAAGCAGACTAAAACACTGATCAAATTTGCCTGATGATAGAATACCTGAAATGGAAAGCCGTTATCTTGAATATATCATGGAACCAGCCCACGCTTATGGATCTGGTGCAGCCATCTCTTGTCCTTCACATTGTCCCTAGTTTGAAAGCTATTCATGCTATTAATTTTTTATTTTTTTTAAAGGCAGAGCCTGGAAACTAGCACTTACTTCCCCTTCATTTGAGCCCTTTTTAGAAACCAATGTTCTCGCCTTAACACTGGGCAAAGATTGATCATTATGGCTGGAATGGTTTCACCACTTGGCATTTATTTTCATCACAATAACAGTGCTCGGGCCATTTGATGAGACATTGGAAAAGACTAAAAAACAGAAACTGCCCTTGATCATTTGTATTTTGTTGATTGTGTATTGTTTCAAATAACACAGAGGATTCTACTCTCCAAGCATTCTGTGTTAATATGTTACACTTAACCCCAATACACTTGGCATTCTTACTCATTAATATCATCATGTTTCTTGATGTCCATGACAGTGAAGAGACCATTCGGGGTGTCCAGAAGGTGTATCTGACTGATTATGCTTATAACTGGACTGGAAAGCTCTGTATAGAAAACACAGACTAGTCTCAGCCACCCAGAAGATCCCATTCCAAGGCACATGTATCATGCAGACAAGAATCAGCACAAATACAGCATATTTTATATTTTCATAATTTTGTTTTGATAATATTGACCAAAATTGCTTTTCCCAATTCCTCTTCCTTTTTTTTCTCCTCTCACTACAAATATGTCTTGTCCTCAGTATTCCACTGAAAATTTTCTTACGAAGTTTACCGTGACCTCCCTGTTATTAAATTCAGTAATCAATATCAAGTCCTCATCTTCCTCCACACCAGCCAAATTGATGGTTCTGTTGTTCTTAGACACACTGCAATAAAGCACTCTCTTGCTGCACTTGGATGACCCTTCTGAGCCTTTTTTGCCACTTCCTAGTTCCCCGACCTCCTACAACTTAGACTTTGTTCTGCTTCTCTACATACTCACTTTTTAGAGGATCTCTTCTAGTCCTATGGCTTTAAAAGTCATTTCTATGCTGATGACTTCTAAATAAATTTCTATTCCTTGTCCCACCTCTGAACTACAAATTCAGAATAAGTTTCTCAAACATGGTATGTCTGAAATTAATTTCCTAAATTTTCCCTGAAATCAACTCCTTCTAGAATCCTCCCCATTTCATTTAGTGAGAATTCACTACCCTAAGTGCTGAAACCAAAACCTTAATGTCATTGATTTCTCTTTCCTTCATTTACCATACTCAATCCAACAGCAATTCCTGTTGGCTCTACCATCAAGTTCTATCTAGAATGTGACCACTTTCACACCTCCACTACTCCCTCCCCGGGCCGAGTCACAATAATGTCTTACCTGGTTCATTACATCCTAACTGCCTTCCTGGCTTCAGCTCCTGCCCATCCACAGTCAAAGTACATCTAGACAACCTAGCCATTTGCTAGCAGGAAAGACCTGGAAGTTGTAGGTTTGCAACCAACAGAATCTGTCACAATAATAACAAGATTTGCTGATTAGATGAAAGTGCCCTGTAAAGAGGCTCTTTTCAAACCTTTTATGCTAACTATTAGGAAGAAAGGATGGAAAGGGGTCATCTAGAAGTTAACATGATATGGCCAGTCAGGGCTGGCTTCTTGTCCATGAATCCTGTGCCATGTACAAGGCACTGAACTCAGAAGTGTTTCACATTTGCTCTAATGCTCTCCTGTCATCATCTTGAAATTCTTCATGATTTTTGAACAAGGAGCCCTGCATTTTTATTTTGTACTGAGCCCTGCAAGTTACGTAGCTGGTCCTATAGTCAATGCCAAACTCTAGTATCTGGCAGCAGGAATTAAGGGGGAAAAGTAAATCTTGGAATTACTGCAGCAGAACAACAGATATTTAATGATTGAATATGAAGTGACTTGTAAAAATAAAACTTAGAATCTTGTTTTCTGGGAAGATGGTGATGATTCCACACAGTGGAAAAGGAAATTTGTTTCAGAGAAAAAGAGAACAACTCTATCAGTCCAAGGAACTGGAGTTTGAGAATTTAATCTCTAAAGAGAGTTGAGACAGAGAAGACTAAATCTGAATCCTCAGAGCAGAGGCTGTAGTTAAGGTGTAAGAAATTAGATGAGATCACCAAGGAGTGAATGTATAGAGAAAAGGAAAAAAAAAAAAAAAGGAGAGGTTTTGGGGCTTCAGTAACTGAGGGTTGGAATCAGGTTACTACATTCTCTCTTTTCTTGTGGAATATTTATTCACATATGGGAGAGTTTCTCTGAAGACCTGAAAGAACCAAACCTGGTTTAAGGGTTTGAGTGGTGGAATTAGGTGGGACCGCAGAGGTAATCTAACTGAACACCCACACTTTAGAGATGGGAAAGCCAATGCTCCAGAAAACATAAAAAATGTTCTATGTTCCCTTTTCTGAATGTTTTGAAATGTGCATTTCAAAATTATCAAACAGGAAGAAAAAAATCTTTGGCATCTCGTGAAGGTAGAATTAGCCCCTGCTTTGACTGGATACTGTCATATGACTCCTCTGTACTTTGACTCCCTCACCGTAGAAGGCTGACAATACCTCCCGGGCACAGGTCTCCCCTTCCTCCATTGTGGTAGGCAGATCACAGCCCAAGGGCTCCTGGCTGAGGCCCGCAGCCTGGGGTTGGGCTACATCTGTGTGTGGGCCAGGAGAGACTTCTTATTGTTTCTAACTCACCTTAAGTCTGCATCCCAGTAAAGTGGTGTTCTGAATGTGAGATGATGTGAAGTACATGGCACAGAGTAAGTTCTCAATAAAGAGGGACAGAATTCTTAGGAACTCTTTGGTGCACATTTATCATACTTATGAAGCTTGTAACAAACATAAAATGCCAAACTAGAATTTATTGGTAATTTTAATAAGAAAGGATGCACCTATTCCCAACACTTGCAATACTGCCCTGGATCTTACTGTAAAATTCTTGGAAATTTCCGGGATACTAACATAACCAGATATTTACAGCTCTGGTAAAAAAAACAAAAAAAAACCCCTACTGCAATATTATTTAAGGATTCTGCACAGCGCAGGGAAAAAAATACTGAGAAACTTCACCGTAGTTATCAAATTTCAAAATATGGTGAGCAGAAAAGCAGTGATTTCCAAATAAGATTTTTTTTTTTTAAACTGTATTCAAGTGTAGAGTAGAATACCGTTTCTTCCTTATCAAGAAAGAAAACTTATAGTTTTTATTGTCAAACCTGTTTCTTCTTCCGGAATTTCTAAATGAGGATCTCGCTCATGCTTGCCAGTCAGGCACCACCACCTCGTCCTTGGGTTGAGCGGCCCGGCTCCCGCTCCCCCAGCCGCGGCCACCGCGGGCAGAGGACCTGGCGAGCACGCGAGGAGGGGAGATCCGGATTCCGGTCCACGTGTCACGCAGAACCGAGTTTTCAAACCGAAACTTAGCTGGACCCCTCGCAGCGCTCTCTGTAAGGGGCTAAGGGAACTCATTTCTTCCACGGCGTCCACGCCCAGAAAAGCTTGTCCCTACGGACGGGGGCGGGGGCGACTGCTGGGCTGAACCCTGACAGGTCGGTGGGGCTCTTCACTTGGCTGCCCCCTCAGGCAGAGGCGCGCCCTCAGGCAGGGTGGAGGCGCGCCGCGGGCACTGTTTGGACTGGAGCTCACCACTCCTACGCCTCGCTCCCACTTCGCCGGCCTCTGACGCACCACGCTTGCGCGCAGGCGCACAGTAGGGGCCGCGGGCCCAGGCCAGCGCGTGCGCCATGCCGCGCGTCTTCGCGACGGCGCCGCCTCCCGGCCAGAGCTGAGTAAAGGCGGTGAGGGCCCGCCTCCCACCTCGGAAGGAGGCGTGGGCATGGAGCCGGCTGGGGACGCCGAGCCCGGAGCTGGGGACGCCGAGCCCGGGGCTGGCGCGGCTGCCTAGGGCACCCCGTGGGCTCCGTGGGGGCACGGCCCGGTGCTGCGCGGATGGCCCTGCTCCCGCGGCCCGCGTTCGCCCTCGTCCTCCTCCTCTTCCTGCCCGCCGCTCTCAGGTGCCAGGAGCAGGCCCAGACCACGGACTGGCGGGCCACCCTGAAGACCATCCGGAACGGCGTTCACAAGATAGACACGTACCTGAACGCCGCCTTGGACCTCCTGGGAGGCGAGGATGGGCTCTGCCAGTATAAGTGCAATGACGGTGAGAGGGAGCCCAGGACCTGCGAGGCCCTCGCTTTCCGGGTGTTGTGGCGGTGTGGGATGCAAGGCAGACCTTGACGTTGTCCTCTAGCCGTGGAAAGACTTAACCACTGCTAGGGTCCTACCGTTCTTGTGATTGAGCAATCAGGTTAGAAGTTGCACCACTATTGTTAGCCTGTGAGAGGTCACCTGAGGTGTACTCTCCGTTCTGTTTTCATTGCTTTTGAATCACTACGTTTTCTTTTTCTTTTGCTATTGCACCAAGTTGCCTCAGAACTTTGTGACGTACGCATCATGGGAATGGAGTGGAACAGACCGATTTTAGCGCTATATTTTAGCACCGTTAGTCAGCCGAACATGCAGAATCTACGGAGAATCGTCATCACGACGTTTTACCTTTCTCAAGAATTGCTTTTAATTTTTTTTTTCCTGCAGGGCCACAGAAAATGAATTGCGACCTTTGTACAGACTTCTGGTGTACTCTATTGTTGAGAAAGAGTTCTGATAATTCTTCTAGAAATTGTCTATCACTTGATAGAAATTTTCTTTCCTTGGTTAATACTACTATAATTGTTTTAATTTACTTTTCATATTTTTTAACTTTTAATTCTTTTTGAATCTGAGAACTTGTTTGGTGCCATCGTTGGTAATAATAAACTCAAGGTCTTAGCAGAGATCTTTCTTTTCAAGCACTTGCTTTTTTTGAATGTTTAAATATTGTAGCAGCTCAGGTAGAGTACTCAGGCTTCTCTTTGGAAATTAAAAATTTTAAGATTTTGATTGGGAGGTCATGTTTCCAGTAAGAGTAGACGAAGTTGGGGCCTAGTTCATTTAGTGCTTGGCACTAAATAGTAATAGGGAACTCAGTGACTAATGGTAAAACCAGATTGCATGGAGGTGAATTTAAAAGAAATCTATGTCATGTAAAACTGGGATGCCACTTGCTGCCTGTAATTCTCAAAATAATTTCTAGTTTTATGTTAATGGAGGTAAAGAATGAGCCATATCTCGTATGCTGTGAAGTGCAAAATGTTTCCTTCCTAAATTTATGTCTAAATGTTACCACCAGTATGCAATCGGGAAGGATGTTGTTATGAGGAATAAGTGAATTATTTGAAAATTAAATGGTTGCCTTTCCTGAGGCAGATGTCATAATTTTACTTGGTCATCCCCATTCATTTTGGAGATTCAGCAGTAAACAAAACAGACAAAATTCCTGTCCATGGAGCTTACATTTTGGTGGGGAGAGACAGAAAACTAAAAAACAAGTAAAATAAGCCAGATATGCAGTATATGTAGGTCTGAAGTTTGCCAGTGTTTTGAGAACAATAGTAAAAACAGCAGTGGCAGTGTTGGGAGGCAGTTTACTCATTTTAAATAGGTTTTCAGGGAAGGTCTCACTGATAAGACAGCATTTGAGAAGAAATCTGAAAATGCTGAAGGTGACACTGTGATGATCTGGGGATAAAACCCTCCAGGCAGAGGGAATGGCCAGTGTGAAGGACATGAGGAGAAAGGCCAGTCAAGGATGACTCCGAAGATTTTGGCCTGAGCCAAAGGAAGGATGTGGTTGCCATTTACTGAGATAGGAAAGGCTTAGAAGGAGCAGTCTTCATTAACTTGTGATGAGTCAGGGGTTCTAGAGTTTATTTACATTTAAAATAGCTCTGAAGTTGAATGGATACTGTTCCTATTATAAAGATGACTTTAATCTTTTGTTTTACTTAACCCTTTTTATCTTCAGCAAGCCTCACTAAATTTACCTTGTGGAGTCTGAAGCAAGATCTCCAGCATAAAAAAACATAAATGAACTTGAGAATTTAGGAAATGGTATGCTTCAGTGAACATCCTTTTGTGTCTTAGTAAATACTGTCTTCTCATAGGACTGTGGTTCCAAGTCACCATGTTGATAATTCCAACATAATGAAAATTGTTCTTTAATTGCTATTACTTGAGAAGTCTCCCTGGAACACTGTTTCAACCTTTCCCAGATTTTGGAATGCAAGTGATCAAATCAGAACCAAACAGAAACAGACAAATCCCAAAGCTAGAGGAGCATGGCAATTAAGGAGTGTTTAATAGTTGCAATAAAGAGGTAAAGGGAGCTTAAAAAAAGACTTGGTAGTAGGGAGAGGGTGATCAGATTAAAGGGCACTCACTTGTTGCATTCAGTTATCTTTGTTTTATCAAAAGGATTGGCTTTATGGAGACTTGCTCCCTTCTGGCCATCCTCCCTCTGGTGAGAACAACACTTTATTGAGATTGAAGTAAAGTTACTTAGGGGAACAAATTAGATGGTTGCTATTTTTTTCTATTTTTTTTTTTCCCTGACAGCAAAGAAAATTTGAGAAAGAAAACTTTCTGATTTCTTTTGAAAAATAGAAAACAAAATTGGCTTGTAAAATGCTTTAGAATTATGAATAAATAGCTCATTCAGTGATTTATGTTTTAACAGGATCCCTTTGGCTGTTGTGCAAAGAATAAAAAGAGTCCAGGGAGGTGGGAGAGCAAGAATGGAGGCAGAGTGACAGGTGCAGGAATTCAGACAAAAGATGGTGGTGGTTTTGTCCAGGTTCATAGCAAGAAAGGTCATGAGAAGTGGTTGGATTTGGGGATATATTTTGAGGCAAGAGCCTGAAGGATTTGCTGATAGCTTGGAAGGAAGGTGTGGGTAGGGTAAAAAAATGATTCCAAAGTTTTTGGCCTGAATGATTGGAAGGATGGGGTTGCCATTAACTGCTATAGGGCAGACCATGGAAAAAAGTCACTAGGAAAAATAATAACATATTTGTATGCTTTTGAGAACGAGTCAGTAGAGAATGAAAACACTGTTGAGGGAGAAATGAAGGAGAATTATTGGAGTCAGGTCCTTAGGTAAGTGAGAGGAGTGGGTTCCAGTGCATAAATAGATTGGCCAAGAGCACGGATGACCTATCCCTATTAATAGGAACAGAGGTAGAGGATATGGGCACAGAAGCTGATTAGGTGGTTAGATGTCCGAGTTCTCTTCCCATCACTTCAGTTTTCTCAGTGAAGTAGGAATCAAGGTCATCAGCTGAATGCGAAGATGGGAATGGAAGTGTTGGAGATTTGAGGAAATTAGGAGAGTGAATGGACTAGAAAAGTAAAGTAGCACAAGGGCCCTCCAAAGATTAAATCATGAATTAAAATCTCAAGTGTTTAGGAAAGCAGTTTTGAATTCTACACTGCATTTCCTATAAAGCACAGTGCTAAGATCTTTAACCCAACAGCCTTCCCTTTCTGTTTCCCATCTGCTTCAGTGTCATTCATGTGAAAGAAATTGGTCTGTTGGGAAGTATTTACATCAAATTTTTTTAAAAAAATATGTAGAAAAGATCTATCATTACCTCAGTCCAGGCAAATCTTTAGATTTTATCTGTCCCTACAGATGATAAAGCATCAAGAGAGGAGCATTTGCCTAAGTCAAAAAGTAGAATCAATGAATAGTATTTCCATGTAGTTGTACCCAGTGGATTTGGTTTGTTTTTTAAATTCTTCTCATTTTTTTTCTTAGCTTTCTGTATTTGCTTACAAATTTTAGGGGGTAGTGACTCTGATACATCATGGATTTTGGTTTGACTTTGATATTTCTTCTTCTGTTACTCAGTTTTTGCTTGTTTTGTGTATTTGTCTGTTCAGACTCCTGTAACAAGATACCATAGACTGGGTGATTTAAACAACAGGAATTTATTTCTTAGAGTTTTGGAGGCTGGAAAGTCCAAGATCAAGGTTTGGCCAACACTGTTCTATAGTGAAGGTTCTTTTCCTGGCTTGCAGACAACTAACTGCCTTCTTATTGTTTTCTTACATGGTTGGGGATGGGAGAAGCAAGTTCTCTGGTGTCTCTTCCTTGCCCTACTCTCATGACCTTATCTAAACCTAATTATCTCCCAAAGGCCCCATCAGCAAATGCATTGGGAGTTAGGGCTTCAACATAGGAATTTGGGGGGGACACAGTTCAGTTTATAGCACTTTGCAAAAATTGGCACTCAGTAGAAATGCTAAATTTTTTAATGTTTAGCAGCTTACAATACCATTTATAACAACATTTAAAATGATATTAACATATTTATAATTTTTGAAGTATATAGCAACTTACTCTTTAATAAACAACTTTCTATGTAACTTGTCTTGATCAGAAATAGTAATTTCAATTTAAAGGTGAATTTAGAACTTCAAAACACTTTAAAATGTTTTGGGAAATCTGTTATTTCCCAGTTTTCTGGGGTTTTGGGGGCTTGGGGGGTTGGTTTTTTGGTTTTTGGTTTTTGGTTTGTTTGCTGTAGATAAAGAATATTTTAATTTCAGGAAGGAATTTCCCTTTTTTTCTCCAGTAATTTCACAGGTGCCTACTATGTGCCAGGCATCTTCTAGGTGAGCAAGACAAAGTTCCTGTCCTCATAGAAACTGACTAATTATGGGGGGGTGGGAGGATGGGCATTAAGGAGGCCATGTTTGGTAGTGAGCACTGGGTGTTATACGCAACTAATGAATCATTGAACACTACATCAAGAACTGATGATTTACTATATGCTGGCTAATTGAACATAATAGAAAAAAACAAACAGAAAAGAAGAAATTGGCTATTATGTTAATTTGGTCAATGAATGTTAGAAAGAAGAATAAAACCAACCAAGGGTATATGGAATGGTTATGGAAGGGAAGAGGCACTGTCTTAGATGGAGTGAGCGGGGAAGGCCTCTCTGATGAAGTGACATTAGTACATTCCTTCAAAAGCCAAACAAAAACCAGTCACGTGCCCCCTTTGCCACTTATGCTGGGGAGCCAGTTTTATCAGCATTTATTTTATGGTATTATTATTCAGTAGTTCATGTGCAGTAGGTCTTGGTTCTCAGTGCATTTTATCAGCTTCCCTCCTGAGAGCAGTTTTAGACACTGGCTCTGTTTGAAACAACTGCCTCCCCCATCCTCCCGCCTCCGTTTTCAGTTTTGCTGACACATTTGCTTCTGTACCATCTC